GTGTGTGTGTGTGTGTGTGTGTGTGTGTGTGTGTGTGTGTGTGTGTGTGTGCGCGTTTTTGACTGCGTCTGAACCTTACCTGACATTCTGACTTTCGCTGCCTCCTCGAGTACCGTTAGAACTCGGACTAAAGACACAAAGCAAAAATGAGTCTCCATTTGATTTTATGAGCAAATTTTATGTTTCATTTTTCTGGTTCTTACTTCAAGACTAGGTGCAGGTTTGCCGAGAGGCGTGGGTCTGTGAATTGCGTGGTACGGTTGTTGTGATCGACAAAGTAAACCCTCCCTGTGGCCGTGTTTCGTATCTCCCATCCTGGTGGTAAAGGACCAAGTTCCTCACAGTTCACATTACTTAGATCTCTGAGGAACAACAGAGGGGCACAGAAAATGGTTGGAACAGAGGAAAAGAAAATCTTGCATACCAAACTAGGTGTAGGAACACAAATATTGACTAACTGGACAAAACTTCTCTTCCATTCTTCCACTTCCTCCTATGTAAATTATTTACCACTGCCTGCAGCCACTTCTACTCAAGTTGATGGAGACAAGAAGGTTCACAAATTTCACCAGTCTTGCTAAGCTACCTCTAAACTTTCTGTTTTACATTAGTCCAAGAAAACTCCAGCGCATGTTAGACTCAAGCTGGCTGATCTGATCACAAGCAGACGGCTGGAAGGCAAATTCATCTGAAGCGATCGGATCTCAGTTACCTGCTCTGTATGTAAATAAACTGAAGGAGGGTTTTTTTTTTCTTTGACAAAAATTTGGGTAATTAAAAAATATTTAGCTTGAAAAAAACAACAACAAACCTTCAGAATATTCCCACACATTATTTCATTGTTAAAATCTGAAACACATATCACTCATTTTATCATAGTCCCAGGACTGAAGGGGTCTGAACATTTGTAAGGTGTCATAGGACCACCAAACTTTAGCTAGAACAATAAAAATGTAATCCATTTCTAGTTTATTTAGGAAGTGAGGAAAATTCAATTTCTTTTTAAATTCACATGTAGTTTTTTTTGTGTGTAAATTTTCTTTGAACTATGGTCACTGATAGAACATCTTCTAGACTCTCTGGTAGAAACAACTGAGAGCTGTGAGCTGCTGGTCATGTGTCCCAAAGCAAACCTTTTCAGGTCTGGTGCTAGAGAACAGAACAGCAGTTAGAGCTCTGCAACATGGCTTTCCTCACATCCTGTCAGACTCCTAACAAGCTGCAGGTTTGTGGCTGCTGCAACACAGACTACGGCTGGAKTTAGTAGATTTAAGAAGATCATATCCCAATTACTGCATGTGTTTTATTTCTCATTTCTTCATCACCTTGCWTTATTCTGTTCAAAACTAAGAAAACAGGAGCTTATCAACAGCTTTTGTTAGGTCAGAGATGAAATACACCCAAGATAGGTCACCAGTCTGTTATGGTTTGTTCTTTGGTTTTTCCTTTTGAAAACAAAATCTAAAAAGAAAACTGTGGTTTTTTTAAACCTAAATGTAAATTTGTAAAATTAAACTAATTAAAAATCCACAGATGAAGAGTTTGTAGTGGCTGTAAGACTGCCTAAAAACGAAATATATTGCCAATAAAAATATTGACATGGCTGCACTTCAAACCTTATTCTGCATTATTTTGAATATTAAAGAAATTTTATTTACAGTAAGATTATCATCTTTCAATGAGATGTGTCGACTCCCTCTAAATAAGACAAACATCAATGGTGAGATGTTGGTAGTTTCAAAACTAAGTGAAAACAAACACACTAAGAGTTCAGGCAAATGATTTCCAGTTCAGCCAGAAGGTCCCAAATGATGCAAAATATAAAGGTTGTCTTTGATATAACCATTAAAACGGGGTGAGGGGTAGCCTTTTTTCAAAATTTTAATTGTGTTTTTTCTAATTTTGTTTTAAAAACACACACATAAAAACACACCAAATTATTTAATATTTCTCATTTTATTTTGAAAAGGAATAAACATAAAAGGAACCATAAACGGATTGTAATCAGTTTCTCAGTGAGTCAACACAGACTGGAAAACCCAACTCGCTCCAGTCTATGACCAGTTTCTGCATATTTTCCATTAAACAATTAAAGTATATACATGTACTATATAATAATAATATATACTGTACATATACAGTCATGTAGAATATACCTGGGTACCCTGGGGTCATGCCACGTGCTGACTCCAGTCTGAGTGTGGAGAAAATAAACTTGGCCTTGCTGCGTCGTCCTTTGCTCTGTAAAAAGACACGAGAAACGTTAACAGAGGTTCCTCACCCTAACTCAACCTTCACTTTCTGTGCGTCAATTAAAACGGCRTGATTCATTCGCCACGTGTGCGCAGATTGTGCTAAATCTGTCGAAGTAAGAGAGTGATCTGACAGATGGAGATGAAAGGACGTCTTGAGTCAGCAGAGCTCCCATAAGGCAGCCAGGAAGAGGCGGGGAGGGAGGGAGGAGGTGAGAGACAGGGCGAGGAACGCTGGAGAGGAAAACTGAGGAGACATGGGGGGTGGATGTCTGACTTTTCAGTTGGTAAGCTCATTCATCACAGCCTGACGGAGATGTTTCCATGGAACTGTCTGCCAGAAAACCCTTCTCTGCCATCTCTTTGGATCCTATATGCTGCTTTCACACCTAAACTTCCAAACGCTCCACTCGGCTGACAAATGTGTTGTTGCAGTCAACACGGAGCGTGCCATCTGACCCGTGTTACAAGCAGACGAAATGTTTTAAAGAAGCTTCAAGAATCAATTTGAGGAGAGCGTTAAGAACATTAAACACTGGGGAAATGCTTTACCCAGGCAAGACCGTTGTACATAGAGCCAAGTTCCTTTTCAGTCATTTCACTCAGTACAACACACAGTTGTATATGGGACACGCGCGCTCTCACGCGCCTGGCTGAAGCCACCTYTAATCACGTGTTTAGACCGGTGACGTGGTGACGTTGCACGCCGGGTGACAGGCTCCGCCTTCACCCTTATAAGTTCGGAGTCACYAGCGTCATTACTCAGTTCTATCGCCCTTCACCTCGCGATAGTCACCTCTAAACCTGAGCTCACATAGCTGCTGCTAGTTAGCTCAGCTTCTAAGGTTCTTAGGCTAGCTTTACTGGTTCTAATCGCATTACCTACTGGTTCGTGTGTCTGCCACTCGACGCTACTTAAGTGACCTTTATTTTCTGCTGAAAATCTGTTTTGTGGTTCACGATGAGCACAAAACCACCTTCGAAGAAGCYRAAGTCTTCTGTTCGCCCCTGTCCTCAGGGGTGCGGCTTTAAGCTTCATGAGAAGGACCAGCATGAGGCCTGCCCGGCCTGCCTAGGAATCATTCACGCTCGACGGGTGCTTGTGGAGCCCGAGTCCTGCCGGACCTGTGCCGGACTTTCGCGTCCGACACTGGAGAGGAGAGTGAAATTCCTGGAGAAAATGCTGGGGGAAACTGCTGTTTTCCGACAAWACCCGCTGCTCTBCGAATCCAGCCAGACGGCTCAGTCCGATGAAGACGAGGATTCGGCGGTCGAAGCCCCCGCTGCAAGCTGGGCGGACCAGATTGAGCACGAGGTGGCCTCACCCGACATCGAGGGGAGCGAGACCCAGTTTCTACTGGATCTAAACTAAGAGGAGGACGATGTTCTGCAGATGGAGCAGGAGGTTCTCAGTCTGTCCGAAGACGATGAGGAGCTGTGTCCAGCTCACTCCACCCCCACTGCTGAGAGGGTGGACCAGGATTCGTCCTTCTTGTCCCTGTGTCGCCGAGCTGCTGTTAAACTGGAGGTACAGTGGCCCGACCCCCCACCTGCTCAAAAGCCGTCGAGGTTCGCAGGGTTTTATCTCCCGYCTGAACCGGCTGATGTGAAGCACCGTCTGCCTATGTTTCCGGACTTTGTGTCGGAGCTGACGTCTTCCTGGAGCAAACCGCTGTCCATCCGCGCCTTCGTRSCCRRRCAGGGTCAGTACTTGGACGTGGAAGGGGCAGACCAAGCAGGCCTGGTGGGCATCCCTCCAATGGAGCCTTCTTTAGCCGCTTATTTGGCTCTGTCTCACAACCAGGGTGTGAGCGGGCCCACCCTGCTCCTTTCCAAGCCCTGCAGATTCTCTTTGGCACAGCTGGAGAAAATCTACAAAGCCCAAGGTAACACCCCCCGTGCGCTGAGCTCCGTCACCATGCTTCAGACCTACCAGGCCATGGCCTTGGCTGAACTGGCAGCTCAGATGCCGCAGGAAAACCCCCTTTTACCCCTGCTGAACGAGATCAGACTGGCGTCAGACCACATCCTGCGTGTTCCGCTGTGCAGCGCTGGCTCTGGGGAAAGGAATGGCTTCTACTGTGGTGGCGCAGAGGCACCTGTGGCTAACGCACTCAGACGTTCCCGACAAGGACAGAGCGGCCTACTTGGATGAACCAATAACGCCTACAGGACTGTTTGGTCAAGCGTTTGACGTCATCCAAACCAAATTTGAACAGAGGAAGAAGCAGGCTGAGGCACTTCGCTGCATCATCCCCAGAAGCGACGCGATGCCCAAGGCCCCGAGCACATCCAGGTCTGCGTCTCATCCTCCTCCGTTCAAGAAGGCGGCAACACCCGGGACTTCAAAGGCCCAGCCCACCGAACCTTCCAGCTAGGCCTGTCACGATAACAAATTTTGCTGGGCGATTAATTGTCTCAAAATTTATTGCGA